CGCGGCTGGTGAACATAACTCTCGTGTGTTTTGTAATCGCAGAGGGAAGTATTTTGGCCAGATTTTTTCGTTATAACGTCTTTAATGGATCGCCGAACGCAGAGTCTCGAGTCTCGTTGAATTATACGTCCTCAAGCACAAAGGCATGTCTGACACGTGCACTTTCTTGAAATTTCTCACTGGTATTCTCGTGTGTTTGCCTGATGTACTGAGAGTATTTACCTACCTTCGTAATAACCAGAACTTAGAGTAAGCAACTGAAGCACCATGGGCAATTAGCATTACCTGGACAAACCTCCGTGGCAGGTATGCTCTTTACTACTAGAAAATTATTTGGTTTTCTTGGAACGCTGACGAGGAATGCCGATCTTTCGTCTTGTCACCTTGCCATTGGCTTCCCCGTAACATTTCCCGATTCACTAACTTTAAGCTGCATTTTGTAGACTTGTTGATCAGTTGTTGAGCTAAATGCAAAAAAAAATGTTTTAAAGAGACATTTTTTATCACGTCATTAATAATATTCCTCTCTCCCGTTACTAGCGTCCTTCATTGAAAAATTTCACAACGGTTCCCTCCGCGCTCATTTGGCCTCTCGCCCGCCAAGCAAACGACCACACGCCCAGTCCCAACAGCGCCAGAATCGCGTTTCCATCGCCAATAATGCATCCCACTTTGAAGAATTAATTTATCGCGATGCCGATGTCCTAGTCCTCTACTACGGCAGGCATTGCGGTTATACGACGCACGGCAGGGGCGCGATCACCGAGTTCCGTGCCGTCGCTGACTACTTTGCTAGCCGCCCGTCGTCGCCCGATTTTGTTATGTAGGTCTTTTTGACTTACTTACCGAATTTTGTCGGACATTGACCATCAGCCTACCTAGTACCATCAGCTATGCAGTCAGAAGGCCATGCCTCTACGATACTCTTCACAGTCCGGGAACAAGAGCAGTCCACCCATACTGATTCCGGAATCTCTACCACAAACAGTGTACTAATTTGTCCATCTGAAACAGCGTTATTAGTGCTAGCCGCGTATTTGGAACAGATAGAGTTTATGTATCTTGTCGTTTAGGCTAGCTCCGAGGTACTCTGCTCATTTATGGATGGTAGGTAACATAACTTATCTCTAATGTTTGCGGCACTCTAAACTGCACAAGTGAAAACTCAGAAATAAGAGTCGCGAACCGTCGGGGATGTCCCACCGATCTACTGGTGACCATAACTAAATATAGTCGTGTTATACTAGGAATATGCATCACTGTCCGGTGGGGCGTTCCTTATCACTTCGGCCTTGCGGATTTAAGTCGTTTTTTTGAAGTCCGAATTGAGCTAAGTATTCCGGTCCAGGTCATCGTCATTGGACTCTGCATGAATGGCTTACAACATGGACCGCAGTGCTTCGCGACCCTCCTGCTGCTGGAACAAGCACAACCTATTCCATTGTCTACATAAATTTACTACACAGGCAACTTAATTAAGTTGCTCAAGGCATTTAACTGCAAATGTTTGTGTAAGTTGTCCCTTTTCGTTCACCGCGACTTTCGAGGCTGTCATTTCATTTGTTTTAATACCTCTATTAAAAACAATTGACAAATGCTTATCAACTTTTTTTATGCAACCCGTTAACATGCTGCTACTTTATGACTTCCTTGTAGGATCGATGTAGATTCGGTTCAGCTGCCGTGGCCCTTGCGTGTGGAATATGTCCCAAATATTATCCTTTTCCCTCGTAATCGGTAAGCTGTCCAATTTTACTTTGCCAAACCAACATACCTGTTTATACCCGTTTTTGTTTGTTTTCATGACCTTATGTGTACATGGTGTTGAAAACCGCACTTAGCGATTTGTTCTGATTGTGTAACGGGATAATTTGACTTTGGTTTACCGGGCACGCCGACTAACAGCAGCAAAATTTCCTGAAAATAGTCCTTTTGTCTCTCTCTTTCTAGTCCCGCTAGTCCCATTCGCCGGCACGATGTATCTTTTCGTTTCTAATAGACGACCCTCTATTCCGCCTTTATGCTTGGAAACACATTTATAGTGAATCCTGTAGTTTCAATACTTGCGTACATGCTTTACCTGTTTCTCCGGAGTTTTTTAAAGCTAATTCGCAATAAGACGTAAACACATGATTTGCATTAGACTTCGGTGCTTTTGGCCGCACAGGGTTGCCCGTCAATTGTATCAAAAATCGACGTCCTGTTTGAGCTAATAAAGTTTCTGATGCGTATTTTGTATGCTGATGTGATTAGGTTTGTTAGTGAGATCGAATCAAATGGCGGCCCGTAAGTGTAAAATCTTGTTTGTGGATCACCTGCAGGCGAACTCAGCTCAAATTCAATGTGACTTTATTATGGCACCAGCAACATTTCGTAATTCCCAAACTAAGTAACCAGAATTTTCACCCTGACTGGTTTTCTAAAAAAATGTTTGTTTGCTGACTTTCGTCTGGCCTTAAGCGTCTACCCGTTTCAACGGCAGTATCTCGCACATCATATATTTATCGCCATTTACAGAATCTTATCCTATAATAACCTATTTTTGTACATTCGGCATCGTTACATGTTCTGAATCGTTCTTGGGTTTTGCAACTCGGTGAGTGCAATACGTCTACTCCCCCCCCACCCCCAAATCCACACAAAGGATATTCATGTAGGACATGTTTCGACCGAGAGTGGGTCGTTGAACACTGTTTTGGTCGGAAATCTGGCGCACCACCGACCTGCTCCCTTCGATTTCGATCTTGTTTTCCGTCAGATGGTTGTATTGAAACATTTATGTTTTTTACTGAGCCGACCTTTTGCTCGGCAAAATTTCTAGATCGTAAGCTATCTAACACATTAAGTCGCCTGGTTGTTGTCGGAACGAGTGCTCCAACTTTCTGAGATAACCCCTAAGGAAGATAAATCGGTTTACTTCCATCTATGGGAATATTTTGCTCATAGTGTTTTAATAAATTTCCCTGTAAACCACCTCCCTTGGTAGGCAACATATACGAATGAAAAATGGTGACGATTGAGACAGATTGCAGAATAAGCTCTTTTTTCAAAAGGACAAGTTACTGACACACACTTGTTTTTTTAAAATTTCCATTAGTATCCCAATTTATCACTGTGATAGCAGCCCTGCTGGGCGCAACGCCCCCTCTCCATCAGAAGCTTGTTGCAGGTATAATCAAAAAGTCCGAAAATCGAGAGCTTTGCTTAAAAACTGTGCCAGTATAGGTCAATTGGGAGCAAATGGGTCGTAAGCTTTGAAATAAATCGAATACGACAGGTAAAGTACTTCTACATTCCACTGAAACTCCGGGCAAGTCATTCTTTCTTCCCTCTTCAGCTTCTAACATACTCCTGTTCCAACATATTGACAAGAGGGCAGTTGTGAAGCTTCGGTTGACATTTTTTTCCTGAAACTCCCCAGCGGCGTTGCATTCTCGAGCTTTGGAATTGCCCCGGCCCTTTTTTGTGATGATATTTCAGCAGCTTGGTCATATTATGGTTAAGCATCCCAAAGCTACGTCTGTGGCTTGATGTTCCTCCCTGCACGCTAACTAACCGACCGTAAATGCCTTTGTCAATTTTAGGATGCTAACATGACTCCCCCGTTCTCCTGTCCTAGCTGGTCACTTGCCCACTGCCAGTTTGAATCATTTTATAATCAACTTATCTTCTAAATCTGCGTGTTCTTCCGATATGTCACCCATGAGTACTCGTGTTTCCCAAGGGCGTTATCTGTT